TTCCTACCTTCCTACCTTCCTACCTTCCTACCTTCCTACCTACCTACCTGCCTACCTACCTACCTACCTACCTACCTACCTACCTACCTACCTACCTACCTACCTACCTACCTACCTACCTACACACGCACACATACAACCAACCAGTCCAACAAGCTCGCAAAGAAGCGAACGACGGCCTCTGTTATCGCTACATGAGAAACTGCTTACAGATCTACTTTGTCCTCCGTATAGTGTGCCGAGCGGAAATCACCAGCACAAACACCAACAAAACAAGACTTACCGATGCTGGTGAGCTGGCCACACTACATGGAACTGGTATCTAGTACCACGTCTGCGACTGCTTAGACTACGACTTTGACTAGCACCACCCTCCCTCCCTCCTGCATTCATAATGGTGGGTCTCGCAAACACAGCCGCCACCACCACCACCACCACTACTGCTTCTGACTGCTACCTATGTGACGCACATTGATGTGCATTGTGCATACATAGTCTTCTGCACATACGAGTACCACAGAACAGCAATCGAGCCAGCCGCAAGAAAAATTAACAGCTGAACCGGCGACCAGCAAGCTGGCAATGCAGGCAACTGCTTCGCAAGTAAAGATGCGCGCTGATGCAAGCACTCGTCAATGCAGTCGTTCGTCACTCATCGTGTTTTCCGGCGAAGCGGTTCCGGCACAGTTTACACCCCGCAAAAATCACCGGACGGCCCGGTGGTTAAACAGAACCTATTCTCAGCGATGTAGTCGAACGCTGTCACTCTCCGTCGGATCCTTCGGAAATTCTACCGACTTCTGCCAAGCTGAGGCACTGCTTGACGCTGAAGGCGTCGCAGCTCCTTGTCTCAAAAATGGGCTTTTGATATCGGCAGCTTAAGGTGGAGTTGGAAAGGAGAGACAAGAATGGAGCGGCAAGCTGCAGGACAGTTGCAACACATTCTGCTCTTACCGATTCTCCTCATTTCTCATCATCAGCACGACAACTACTGATCCGCTGCTGCTGCTTGACACCAACACAAATCTGCAACCACGGTGGCGACCACCACCACCACCACCACCGCCGCCACCACCACCACCACCCGCAGCACAAACAATACAGACGAACGCAAGTAACTATGACAACGATGTTGAGGACGCCTCGTACAACTACTGATCCCCTGCCCCGCTCAATCTGCATAACTCGACACTTCGAAGCCACACTTGACAACTCCATCTAAACCATTCCTGAAACCCAGATCATCGCTGCATTGCTGCAGCAGTCTCCTCTTTCAGGGTCGCCACCGACCAACGAGCCAGCTCGTCCTCGCTGACCTGATGAAGGTCAAGCACGGAGGTCTTCAGTTCTGATTTCAAGCCTGTGCTCACCCATCAGAAATTGCACAGTGCACTGTTAACATACACACAGCACCTGAGCTGCAGAGATACAAGCACGTAGACATGAATGCCACAAGCCACATTAATTGTCAACCGTGAAATGTTCATGTCATGGAGTCATGCTCAGGTGCAGTTGCACGTAGCCCTCATGCCCTGTAAATAGAGCGATCACCGTTCGTTGCGCCGAAGATCGAAGGTCTCCTTCTGCAGCTTCTGGATTTCTGCAGAGCTCACACGAGGCCGTGGACGCCGTGCGCTGTTGGTGAACCACCTGGCAGTGGAGTCGGTCTTCTGCTTTGAAGGCAAGGCGATCCGAAAGAAAAGGCTGTTCTTGGTGTCTTCGAAAGGATGCGCAGGCCCAACTAGGCTGCATAAGGGGTGGCACAACTCCAACTGTTAGCTCAACAATGTGTGAACTAGATGAACTGCATCTGCATCTATGGCTTGTGTGTCAGCTTCCCCGGAGCTTGAGCTAAACTCACCAGTATTGGACAACTCATTAGGAACTCGGAAGCGATCTGCGGAGCACTCAACCACAGGTACAAAGCCGCCCAGCAATACTGGCTTAAGCTCTGCAAACCCTGCATACACTCATGCAGGAGAAGGCACAGACCACGTTCGGCGAGCCAGTTGATGAAGCGGTCCTGGCATGAGTCCCTCTTGACAGTTAAAGCTTTCGGAACTGGTGCCTGCTAGGATGACAGTCGTGTCGCACCACGGAGCAGCTGTGGCATGTATCTTCAGGTTTACGGGTTTAGGGTTTAGGGGTATACATGACTGTCGCCCACTCTTCTCAATTTGCAGGGCTCAACGGACCTTTAGTTAGCTTTAGTTGCCCCCTAAACCTTCAGCTTGAAACCCTCCGGCCTTTGAATGCCCACAACTTCTTGGACAAAAACAACATGGGCCAGACCCCGGGTCCCTGGCAACTTCGGCCTCTAAACCTTCAAGCATAAGAACTATTGAGTTCAGGGCTGTTTTATGGGGTTTGAGTTTAGATATATAACAAACTCTAAAACCATAAACCTGAAACACCAAAATCTGAAGCCTCTGAATCCCCAAGCGGCCTCTAGACGGTTTAACCGACGGATGATGCCGCGGACGAGACGGTGCTCGCGCAGATCAGGCCTGTCAGGCATTGCAGCTGATACAGATGTAACATCACTCCGGTATGTACGAAGAGAGAGAGAGAGAGAGAGAGAGACAGAGAGAGAGAGAGAGACAGAGAGAGAGAGAGAGCGAGAGGGAGAGAGAGAGAGAGAAAGGGAGAGAGAGAGATAGAGAAAGAGAAATGTGCTAGTACATGAGGCATATATATATATATACACAAATATAACCCGTTACAGACATACATACGTACATACATACATACATACACACATGCATACATACATCCATGCATGCATGCTTGCATGCTTGCATGCATACATATACACACACACATACTATATATATATATATAATATTTATTTATATAATACGCACGTGATGATCTCGGTTCTCTGTTCGCCGGCCCCCAACCCCGATACATGGCATCCACCACCCACGCCGACTGTCACGAGGATCGCATCCCTATTCCTGTCTGACCGCTGACGAGTACTGCCATTGGTTTCCACATTGTTGACATGGGTTGTGGCTAGAAGAGCCGGCGCTGACATCATCTGCCAAAGTACGACTAAAAGTTGTGAGTGGCATTACTGTCGCAGAATGCCTGGCAGTGGCCTGTGCTACAGCTGAACCGCAAACCCCTCTGCCCTCAACCCCCGAAAGGCCTGAAACCCAAGAAGCACAAAGCTCCAAAACCCAAGCTCAAACGAGTCTCGAGCCGACTGACTCCCAGAGACTCAGGATATATATATATATATATATATATAGATATATATATATATATACATATATATATATATATATATGTGCACAGTGTTGGGAAAGGGATTCATGAGGAGTGCTGACAGGGTTTCATGCGGGAATTCTTGATAGTGGGGATCCTCTTATTTGGGTTCCGCATTATGCAAAGCAAATTATTTGGGAGCCCCCTACCTTCTGAAACCTCCATGTTCCGCCTCCAATAGAACAGAGCAACAGCAGCAGTTAACATCATGCAGAAAACGAGGGTCACAATGGCGCACGAGGTGAAGAGCGTGCTCCTGAGACGGCTGAACCCCTGAACTGCTACGCTTCGGCGTTTGGTCGGTCTGGCTGCTGCAAAAACCTACCCACCTGCTGGAAGTTTCCCCGCTGAAGCTCAGCCGGATCGTTACGTCGACTGTCACAGCTTAAGGGGGCAGGGCTGAAGCTACATGTTGAATCCCAGTGGATGGTCACACGGAGCTGTTGACACCCTGGGCGCCGCTTCTCACATCGACAAACATACAGAAGAACTCCGAAATGATGGCCGAGCTGCCAGAATCCTGGCCGTGTGGCACTTGCCAAGCGTTCCCGGTTCCTCGCCCCGCGACGCATGGTTGGAGGCTAGCACGCTCGAAATAAAGCCGGGCATGTCTCCATTGATTGCACCAGCATGCGTTTGAGAACCGTCCGAAGAAAGGTTGGGAGCCTCCGGCGCTCTAATGAAGCACGCTGCTGCCGGTAGATCCGGTCGAGCTCGATGTCCTCAGCAGTCATTGTGACCAGATCTGTGCTGAGCCACCCCCAACCCGCTCAATAAGAACACGCACTCACTTTTAAAGCCTCGTAAGGTCTAGCACAGATGCCGAACCCGTGCAGCCACTTTAGATGCTTGGCTCCCAAAATTGCTCTGGGGTTTTGGGGTCTCGAGCATTCCACACAAATTCAGCTTCAGTGCATATTCGAGTCTGACCATGTAGGGGCTACGCCGGGGATGCGCTGACCAATTGCTCGGATTAGAGTTTCGGTTACGGTCTAGGCAAACAACATGATAAAACTAATGTAGGGGCCTAGATCATTAGAATAGAGTCTTGGGAAAATCCCTTATAGTATGTTTATTATAAGAAACCCTAACAGTAGTATTGGTATTTAGTTAGGCTTCCATATTATTGGGAACACGGCCCGCACACGAGACTTTTGACCCAAGCGAGCCCTGCAACGATTGGAACAGGGTTCGGAGAGCTGGTAGCTTGAAGCCGTACCTTGCACTAGCTCCTCTAACTACGACACAACTTGCAGCCAGGGTGATGGTGCGCTTCTCTTGCAAAAAGCTACCGCAGCCAGGGTTCGCAGTCGGACCGGAAACCCCGAACATCCCGACAAAAGAAACCTGTCTTCCCGAGGCTCTTCGTACGAAGTGTAGTAGCCGTCATCACCGACATCTCCACTAACGAAGACATCCAAGATGTTGACGTTCGAAAGCAACATCGAGACAAGGAAGATGATGCCCTGAGCATAGAGGTTCTCTGCTAGGCGGTCCGAGTACAGCTTGCTCAATGACTCTGTGCACTAGTCCAGCTCAATGTCAGCTCATGGGTCACACTGGCTTTTGCAAGAGTGCAGTCTCCCATGCACCAGCCGCTTTGGGTGCTTGTATCTCACGACTTTGCTACTGTAGCAGGCTCCTTTAAAGCCATATGCTGGCCCTAAGCCGGCACAATCCGACGATGCCCACCAGAAAGGCAGTGAAGACCCCAAGCTCTTGCTGCCTAAGGCCCTGGCGGAAGCTGCAAGGGCCCCCGGGCTTCCCCCGACATAGATGAAAAAGACCATCGGAGCCTTCATCTGGGATTGGCATAAAGGTCTATGGCTCGATCCCCTTTTCTAGATCTGTAGGAGATGGACACATGGAGAGCCCAGCAGAACCCCAACACGGCCCGGATGCACTTCACATAGAGATCATGAAGAATTCAGCCGGCGCCCTGAAGCCACGAAACTCTGCAATGCGGCTTTGATTCGGGTGTGCCAATTTTTTGAATTTTTCCAGTATACCGGAAACCCGCTAAACTTAGACGACTCGCCCCCAAAGCAGTGCAGCAGCTCTGCCTGAAGACGTCAGGCCGTTACTGCGGAAGATCTGCTGTGCAAAGGCCAGCCTTACAGTAGGAACTCCAGGTTCTAAGGCAGTGGAGACCTCAAGAGTTGAGCTCCATAAACTAAAAGAGCATAATGTACTACGTTGTAAGATAAGATGGGATAATATAGTATCATATAGCCAAAGAGAAATACGTAGTATAATATAGTGTAAAGTATATAAAAGATATAGTATGTAGGACTGCGAATCGACGGCTTCCGTAAACAAACGAACGACGGCGGGCCTTGCCTGCAACAACCAAAAACCTTCATGACGGATGCCGTTAGCTGTGAACGGGCCTTTGCTGTTTTGCTTTGCCTCAATAAACGGTTTAGGGTTTAGGGTTAGAAGAATGATGGCTGCTGACCCCAACAGCATTTCCAGCGAAGAAATGGCAGCAAGCAGCTTGCAGCACCAATGAAAACACTAGTCTGCGTAGCTCTGGGACGGCCTGCTACCACCTCTCCACAACTACAACAACTGCAACTACAACTACCACCGCGACGACAATAACAACGATTACATCCACCGCCGCCGCCACCGCAATGACCACCACCACCACCACCACCATCAACACCACCACCTCCTTTCTGTCATTTGTTCTATTGTGTGATCTATGCTTCTGGAACCCCAACCTTATGAGTCCAGGATTGCGAACTGGCTCGCAGCAATGGGAACCTCGACTGGAGAACTGCCAGCAACCCCTTGGCTCGGATGATGTGCTGCGAAATCTGATCCCAGGATGTTTTAAGGTTAACAGGAGTTTATCATCACGGCCTAGAGTAGGCGAAAGCCCTGGCCCTGGAGCCCTCCACCGTCGCCGTCGAGAGGCTGGGCTGAAGGGGCAGCAGTGGGAACTGCGCATCCACTCTGTGCTGTGCAATGTCGCCCCTTTCAGCCGTAAACGGCAGCTGCCAGCGCCGAGGTTACTTGGGTCTGCACAAAAGCTGGTAATACTCGGCAGTCCTGCGAGTGTTGGACTTGCAACTCGCGCATAGAGCTAACCTGAACATGGCATACCTCCTCCCACAAACACTTCCAACAGGCCTTGCGTCCACCCAATCCGAGTGAACCAAACTCATAGGTTTGACTTCCCCCAGCCCTATGGCAAATTCATGTGCAGCTCCCAGGGTACGCCCCGAAGCTAGCATGTAGATTCCAGAGTGCCGGGCTTGGTTCTGAGCAAGGTTCAGCGGAGCTGCTTGTTGCAATCCTGAGTGTTTTGCCGGAGGCTTCCAGCTTAGGGCAGTTGGAATATACAAACATATATGCAAATATACACATAGGATTGCCTTCCCGACATTCGGAGGGCGACGATCGTCGCAGGGTTTGTGGTAGCTTCGCAGCGATTCGTTTAGTCTCGTTATCGAGATCAATGGGCTCTGCATAGGCCTCACCTTGGTGATCACTGCATCGACATCTCAAGTTGGACACTTCCAAGCCATCACTTCGAAGACCTATGTCTTCGATTTCGAGGCAGCATAAGTCGCGTCAGCAAGACAGACTGATCTTCGGACACAACACCTCAAGCGCTAGTTCTCGGACCTTGTAGACCACGAAGTCTAGCTCCCGACAAAACTGTGTTCGACGTTATCGGCGGTCCTCCATTTCTGAAACACACAATTGACCATTGAAGCTCCGAGGCCCTATTGACAAACCCCTGAACATCTAAAGGTGAATCCTAAGATTCTGAAGCCCCTCTAAGCTCGCAGCGAGCTTTGCACCCCCAAGTCGGCGAAAGCCCAACTGCTCAGGGAAACGGTTGGCCTGGGCCAGACTTCAGGAATGCCCTTACCGTTGGACTACCATTCTGACTGTTCCTCCACACAGGCAGGGATGGAGGCCTGGAGGCATTGCGCGTGGCAAGTGCTAGTTTGTTGCCGCGGTCTTGAATCTAAGTCATTAAGGGGGGAGCTGTGCAGAATTCATAAACGTCATGTTCCACGAAAGTCTTTCTCGCCGAGTGTACATGTGCGGAGGCCTCCTTACAAAGAAGGTGAGCAAACAAACATCTGAAGTCCGCGTCATCATGCTAAACCTTTTTTGCATGAGGACTTGTGCAACCGCCTGAAGGTCTGAGCATACGAAGGTTCGGCTCTCATGCTTAAACCTAAACCCTGAACCCAGCTTGCATGTAGCTTCGAAAGCTGACAGCACCAGAGACTGTCTTGGCGGCGGACACTACGGCAACCTCCGGGCCAAAAGCAGGTACTCTTCGGCCCGGGCTTGGGCGGTTTACAGGTTACCGTTTAGGGGTTAGTTTAGGCGTGGGCGGTTTGCAGGTTACGGTTTAGGGGCTTGTTTATAGTATATGTATTGCAAGGAACCCTAAGCAAAAATATAGGCAATTTATGCAGGCTTCCATAGTAGGACCTTATTCCGAGGGTTTAGAGCTATAAGCTATTTCTTGGACACGGCTTCTGGGTTCAACGGCTGTGGATTCTTCGAGGCTGAACTGTCAATGGCTTCATACGGTAGTCTTTATCAACCACTTTTAGAGCCAAGGTGGTGAATATGTGGGCGTCTGGGGTTAGCCCAAGTTGCCCTGAACCGAATTTGAGGTTGAAAAGATGACACCATCAGATATTTTTCAGGCTTAACCAGGGTTGATGAAATCATTGTGATTCAAAGATCACGAAGCTCTTCAGACATCGAAGACCAAGCTCCCATGGGAGGGGGAAGTGGTGGAGACTTCGGTCTTTTGAATTTCGGAGGCCGCTGTTGCGGCTCTGGGGGTGCAGTGTTGAGGGTTTAAGGGGGTTTAGGGTCCTCTACATCCCGAACGTTCTCTTTTTGTCGAACCCTGCGGCCCAAATCTACAGGCCACAGGCCCATTGTGCAGAGAGGTTCAGGCAGCTCAGCCCAACAGCATCCAGGCTGCCAAGGCGGCAAGCCTTGGGAGGCCAAGGCAGCGAGGTTTCAAAAGGATTCAGGACGTTCCGAGGCAGGAGTTCGAACAGGAACAAGATGCGACATGCGTCCGTCCGGCAGTATCCCATCTCACTGCAGTGCTCCTAGCGTATATTTGCGGAAGTCCGTACTATGTAAAGCCAGAAGGATGACCCCAAGGAATCCTGTAAGAAAACGACAAGGAAACCCGAACCTCAGGGAACGTGTCGTCTCCTCGTGCCACCGCAGGCACCCAGCGAACCCCCGCACGGCAGCACCACTGTGGGCACCGGTTACAGCCGCAACCATCGGGTCCTTGTAATGGTTTAATATAGGGGCCTTAAGCATAGGTTCACAGGATTTCTTCTACGGGTTTTCGCCTTACAGTAATGATTAGAATCGGGTTTTGCGGAGTGTTGAAACGTTGGTTGCAATAAGGAGTGTAAGGGGATACGACTAATACTAAGAATTCTTCAGAGCCATACAAAAACCCAATGACCCCTCTGCAATCTTCTGCATGCCGCCCGCAAAAGCCACTTAGCAAAGTTCGGCGAGGGGTTTACTTTGGGTTTTGCTAAAGAATTGGCGAGGGTCAGAGCCCCTACACCAAAATAATACATCCCGAAGAGCACGCCCCGATCCTAAAGGTGGTTGCTTCGTCCCAGGTCCAGTAACAAGATCACGTTGCCCCGATCTGTCGATCTCCTCGAAGTGTTCCTTTAAGGGTCCTGTAAGGGTTCTACAAATATGACAATAAGTGACTGAGGCTCCTGATGCTCAACTCCAGAACACGGGATCCCCACGCACAAGGTTCCAGGTCGTTTCGCTAAGACGAGATGCAACCAAAGCTAAGCAGCTAAGCCAATGAATAGATCTGTCGAAGTGGCAGAAGGCTGGATCAGCGCAATGCCAAAGACGCCGTGCATGGAGAGAACAGGATGCAATGGTTGCCCTGAGCATTTAGCGTCGTGGTAATCAGGACAGGTCCCGGGGCCGGCCTGTAGAGGGGGGGTTGTAGCTTTAATCGGCGCCAGTTGAAACTTCTGCAGCGAGCGAGACCTCAAAGTAATCTAAGATGTATAAATATATACATAGTTTAAAAAGTACCATAAGATCATTCGGTAGTCACCATAAATCATCAAATGCAAAACCATTTACATAAGTCAGATATGCCATGCAAAACCATTTATAAATCAATATATATATATATATATGTGTGTGTGTGTGTGTCTATATACATATACATTCACTATACATGAAACACATGATCCTGAAGGTGCTATACACTTCTTTTCCCCGCCAAAACCAAGCCGAAGCATGCGCATGTCACGATTAAATAATGCAACCATGAACTGGGCGCTCAAGTTTGACCCGATCTCTATGCCAAAACTATTGCCAAGAGGGCAGACGAGAAGCCCTCCGTCAGGATACTGCAGGGCATCGCAAAGACAGTGCTGGCGCCCTGGCTTCGGCGAGAATCGATGTGTGCTACAGCTGTTGTTGGGGGATCCTAGAAAACGTGAGCGTTAAGCTCGATTCAGCCACAAGCCTCAACGGACTTAGGTGCCAAATGACCGTGAAGGCATATATACTAGTATATAATATGGATTTACTGCTACACAATTTTTATATGCTGTTATATGAGCTGTTATATGTCTTCCGCCCTGAAGCCGGAAAACATAAATAAACAAAGACCTCAAGCTCCACTGACTGAGAGCGAGAGGTCCTCCCCCTTAAACCCGAAGACAGCAGTAGCTTCACCCTGATACGAATTTCCTATTGGGGGATACTGCTAGCCATTATTCCGACCCCTGTATCAAAATCCTCGAGTCTCGCACTTGGAATGCAAAGCAGCAGCATTTACCGGGACCGCAAGGCAGCCCTTAACCAAGCTTTCACAGTTGCACCTTCCATCTGGACTGGGGGGCTTGGACTCAGGTTGAAGGGTGTCTAGGCCGTAAGCATCCTTACTGAAGTAGAAAACCCCCTAACCTGCAGGGTTCATCGACTTCAGAATGCTAACTTCAATCATCCGTGCCTCGTCCGCCACAAATACCGTGCCAGAGCCATCGAAGGCGAGTCCTCTGGCCAGCACAAAGCCGTCGTTGAGGGCCGTGGCGTTGCCGCCACCGTATTTGGACACTCCGTAGACCTGGAGTTTCCGTTGGCGGATGAACGCCGATTAAGGACTACTCCTTACCTAATACAGAATACTACAGTACATTAGTATTCCTAGACTTCAGATAAAGGTCTTGCGCTCGATCTCTGAGACAAGTTGCCCCTCCACCATCGCTGAAGATGATAGCACTAGTCGTCGCCGCCTCAGAAGCTCTAGTGGGAGGCCTTGCACCTGAACTTGAAGTTTGGGAGAGTAATGTTGTAGGTGAGTATCATGTTGGGGGACGTATGATTGTGTTGAAGCACTCAAAACTGGGAATGACCGCTCAGCTGTTCGTGGCTTTTCGGTCCTGACGGTTCCGTGACGCTCTCTGATGCCTCATCGTGGACCAAAGCTGACCGAGTGGCAATGCCATACGAGCGCTCTGTTGAGCTGGTGAGCTTACCTTGCTCCAAGGCTTTTGGTGCCCAGGTCGGAATTCGGCTTGGGGTGCAAGACTTCTGCTGAGAACCCCTTCGTTGTCCTCAGAAACCGAAAAACAGATGACCCCGTCACACTGCTCGCTCTCCGCTCTTCTGCCCATCACACGAGCTCCTCCCACCTTTGATTCGCCTCCGAACCTCCAACCACCCCGTCACCGTGGTGTCTGGGGTTTATACTGGCTCACGTCGGACCTACATGAAAGAACCCCAAACTCTGCTGCGCAAGGATCACGAGCTCTCCGGGACAATCGCGTCCCACATTTCAAGTCATTTCAAGTCGGGCCAAACCCCCCTCCAGCGATCTGAAGACGGAGGAGAGCCTACGATCACATCAACATCACTATGTGCCAGAAGCAGCAGCTGGCAGCAATAATCAAATCAAAATCACAAGAATGACACTATAAAAGCATTGGTTGTAGTCAAAATTGATTAATATTCATGCTGCAATCCTTATTGTTATGGCCATTGCTAGTGGTGCAACCACTACTGCTACTGCTACTACTACCACCACCACTACCACTACCCCTGCCACTGCCACTGCTGAAACTGCTGCTCCTACTATTACTGCTGTCCTTGCGCTTATCTAATGATGGGAAACCCAGGAGCTCGACCGCGCTGCGCCGGCCGGGCTCGACTCCGGGTCAGCGAAGCCTGGAAGCGATTGACACCGAAACCGCCGTCTGCGATTTGTGCTTTTGTTTCTAAACGTGTGTTTGTGGGTGGGCGGGGGGGCTTAGAGGCTTTGGGTTTAGGCCGGGTGGAAGGTTTTCGAAGGATATCAAGCTTGAGATTCTTAGGGCAGCGTTGGTTGCATCCAACGGGGCAAGCGTTGGCAATGGCTGTGCTAAAGCTCCACGCGTGTTGCCGGAGGCAACCGTTTCGATGAGGTTGACAATCAGGGTTCAGAGATATATGTGCCTTAAGCACTTGAAGAGTGCCGGTCAATTTCATCACTAAGTTGCATGTAAAAAACAAAAAAAGTTTAATGCCACCACCACCACCGTCACCACTACCATCCCGCACAACTTACTTACTAAGACTTACTAAACATCATCACTAGTCGCATCGCACACGGCAGCATGTCCCCTGCAAATTCTCCCAAGTTCCTTCTCCAGCCCAGTTCAGCCCCGCCTGTGGCCACAGCACCCTTCTCGAAACCGTTGTTCTCGTTGGACCAATACACCTGCCACAAAATCAGAACTGTCCGGACGAAGCAGGTCTACTTACCGGCTGCCGCTGTCAAAGTATATCAAGGTCAGGAGAAGGCTGGCATGTTTATCGCGCAACTTTTTCTAGCAATGTAGATCCAGAATTCCTCGGCTAGGGTCGCTTCTGCTCTCGAGCTCACGGCGATTTCAGCTCCGGAATAAACTGCTCCTTGCTTATCCTGCCCCAATGACGAGACCACATACATGTAAGGATCTGAACTTGAGGTCTTCTTTTTGTTAAAGGGACCTTTGGCATTCGTACCTCAAGTGTAGCATCCTTCTCTTTAGATGTCTCCTGGCGCCTCATATCCTGCTACAACACAGCCTGCACGGTGTCGGACACCACGCCACCAGGAGTGGCCACATGTGGGCTCTCGGAGGCCTGCCACAGTCTTTGTTTTCGAGGTGCTTATGAAGGGAGCCCTTCGAAATCGGGTTCTTTCGTTTGACAGGATATGTTGAACCTTCAGAACTTGAAGCCAGATAAACAAGTGGACCAATATCACCGACAAGTCACACACCCTCAAATGCTACCAAACGAATGGCGGGAGGAAGTCAAGAAAAACCTGGCAGAGTGAATGAAGCGATTATGCCAGACCCGAAACCCGGAACCATAAAGCTTAAATCCTGAGCCTTGATACCTTTATGACCACAAGAGGAGCAACCCGCCCGAGTCTCCAAGGAATCGCCGTCTCAACATTTTCGAGCCACGGCTCTGCCCTCTCTTCCAGCACGCGGCAGAAGAATGGAAAATCAGCTCAGGGCTCAGCCGCAGCCAGGCAAAATGGGTTCAGGTTTTAGGGCTGAGGCTTGCAAATCCCTAAACCCCTAACCCCTAAAGCCTAAACCCTAAATCTCTTTTGCAACTAACCCTAAACCCTGAATTTTCTAAACTCTAACCCTTTTTTTTAAATGGAAACCCTAAACCCTAAACCCCCTAGACCCTAACCGGCCCTAACCCCTTTTTTGAAGATGGGACTCCTTGAAATCCCGCTCAGTCTTCCGGTTCCTTTAAGGGTACCTTTAAGGCTTCCTTTAAGGGTACCTTTACGGGTTCTTTTTTTAAGGGTTCTGTTAAGGGTTCCATGTAAGTGTAACTACCATAAGTGTTTCTAGAATGAGTATAAGGGTCCATGTACCCGTACCCAAATTGTATATACTTTGGTTCCTTGGTGTTGGGTCGCCATGGCCGTGGCAGAATTTAGGGTTTCGGGTTTTCGGGTTTCGGGGTAACAAGTTTTCGCAAACTCACGGGGCGCTGAAGGTTGCAAGGCTACGAAGGGCTTCCAGGACTAGATCTGCGACTGCAGCGAGCGCAGCTCACGATCTGTAGCCTCGTGCAGCGCGCATCGAGCACGCTCCAGAGCAGTAGCTCGCAAAGGCCTAGCCTACGAGTGCCAAGCATAGCAAGCATCTGCTTTATTGTATGTGCGTATCAATAGGTAGAAGCTGAAATTACAGGCGGGGTGCTGAAACTTCGGCAGTCCAACAAACAGCCTCAGTCGGCAGAAATATGTCAAACTGCGCGCACATGCGCGGATGGCAAGGAAAGTACCACATGTTGTATGGGTCCAACGGCGAATTGACAGCAATTTCCTGCTTGGAACTACTCTAAACTCGCAGTGCTCGGTCTCAACCGGACAACCCGAGGACGTTCTTGAACACTGCTGTGCCGATCTCCACGCCCAGCTTTGCCTTGATATTGGCTTTGGGCTCCTGCGAGGAGCCGACGTAGGGTGTAGGGTTTAGGGATCTCGTTCAGATGCCGACCTGAATACACAGGTGAATGCGGATTCCCGGGCTCTTGGAGCAGACGTGACCAGATTATATGCCCCTGTTTTTGAAGACTTCTGCTTGGGCTGGCAATCGTCTGTGCGCCAGCAACAAGTCAGCAGCAGCAGCAGCAGCAGCAGCAGGAGGAGGCATCTCCGTGGTGGTGCTAGTAGTAATATTCATGACTTGTCGTCGGAAGCAGCCTTGTAGCACTATGCGCATTCGAGAGAATGACTGCAACACTGAAGCTCCTCCCACCAACCTCCCTTCTGCATCAGCTCGCAAGCGGCCAAGAGCCGGTCCAGCAAACGGTCGAAGTCTGCCTCGCACAGACAGCATGTCATTGATATCTTGATCGATATACGATAAGTAATAATATTGCAACGCTAAATCCTGGATCTGGGTGCCAGTCGGGGGCGAGGCGCGGTTTGAGGGCGCGCTCGCAAACCCCAACAAAGAGCCAAAGTCTTTGGGGTTGAGGGTTTAAGGGTTTGGGGTTTAGGGTCCTGAAAACACCTTCGAGACGCACAGCCCTTCAAGCAGCAAGAAGCAGTCTAAAAACTTCACGACCTCCAAATCATCGAATGATCCTGCATCACGAGAGCAGACACTTACGTGCCAGCCCCATTGACCTCATTCTGGAACCCAATAATTACTCATCCTCTTTTGAATCTGGATTTCGCTGATAACGAAGTGACTATTTACCCTTTTTTGAACCCAGACTCTGCCGATCAGCTGGGAAGCAGCACTGCATGATTTCACAAATTAATCATTTTTTTTTTGAACGAGGTCTCTCGGAAGTGCCTCGAGCAGTATGATTTCATCAGTAAATCCCTACAACCTTTGAGCCATCGGCCGGCCTTCTTCCACTCAAGGGAGAAGAGTAGACGACCGGTACCCACCCAGCTCAGGTTCACGCCTGCATCCTTGAGGAAGTACCTGCAGGAATGTAGCTGCAGAATGCGACTTTCGCCTGGGGACAACAAGAGTTGTTACTTAATCTGCAATAATATACATTCGATCATAGGACATCAATAATAATGCAATCTAATATTGAGGGATGGAGGGCCGCTTCCTTGACTGCTCTCATAGCTTGCTTAACTCAGTCTTTTGAGGCCCAGAATGGCGCACGGAGTATTGGCCGCTCCTGCAACCCACGGACTTATGCAAAAGCATCCAGGATTAGGTCCCGGAGTTTCAACCTCACCCCCTGAACCCGATACCGCTGAACCCTCGCATATATGGCAAAATGGCCATGCCGTAGAGCACAACACAAATCACAAGACCGAAAACCCGCCAGCGCACTGGAAAATCCAGTGGTAGCGGCCCGGCTTCGTGTAAAGGATGGACCAGACCTCAGCGAAGGCTACAGCGTTCCCTGAAAGCGCTCCTGCAAGAGCTACGAAAAGGGGTATTGACGATCACACTGGTGAGCAGCATTGTCAAAGTCGGCACCCGAATATCTCAACATGTCGAAACGAAAATCATGTCGGGAACTAGTGAGCAAGCAAACTTCCAAGCGGGTGCGCGACTAACTTGCTTTTGAAGCCCTCCTCCCAGCAGCCTCTATACAAAGCTGACTACTTAAAACCACAGAAAACACCAGAACACACAAATGAAAATCTGCCCAAGTGCGGAAAACCAGTTGGTGAGCTGGACCGGGTATCCCTTCTCCTCGAACTTCTTGTTCGCAGCCTGTCACGACTTCCTATTGCTCGGTTCTTTGAGTTGCTTCGAACTTCGGCGCAGGAACTGCATGGCACAACTCCAGCACTTCGATGGCTCTTGCACTTCTGTGGCCTTGATGAAAGCATCGATGTTGGCGTGCATCTCGTCATAGGACCTCAGCTGTTTACTTGCTTCAACTTCTACGTATGTGGTGATTCCGCGAGAAGTGATCAGTGTTGGTGCTGTTGCTTTTCGTGCGGTATTTTCCGATGCTCGTCATGCCAAGAGGGTCGAGGTTTGGAAAACAAGGCCTCGCCCAACAATTATGTCCCAGCCTCTGCCTCAATGCCCATCACCCACCTAGCCCTGCAATATCTTGTTGTAATCAACGGTTGGAAAGGTGAGCCCAGGAGCTTCACGGTAGCCGGCTCCTCCAGCCACTTCAGAAAGGCATTCATGCAGGCCATCACGAAGGGGTGGCCTGCGAAAGTTCCGATGACGTAGTTGATCCGTGCTGCCTGGGCAGTCTTGGGCCCTTGCAACCCTGGTCACAGAAGGTAATGGCAGGCACGAAGGTAGCACAAGCAGCAGCAACATCAGTAGTAGTGGGCGGAGTAGTGGTGCTGGCGGCAGTAGTAACAGTTGCAGTAGCAGTAGCACCAGTAGCACTAGTAGCACTAGTAGCACTAGTAGTAGTAGTACTAGTA